ATCACTCGGCCCCACACTCACACAGAAATCACATCATTGTGGAATAAGAAGCTTGATCCATGTCACACCTGAAGACGAGTGAGAAAACTTGAATGTTGCCCTACTGATAGAAATATCACCGATGATCGGCTACATCATTGTGGCTGGAAATAATTACGTCTGGACCAGGCAAACCAGTGGTTGACAGCATGAGCACCTATCCCATTAGACTACAAGAAAGTAATTCATAACGTCACTTCCTCTAAGCACTGAATTATGTACTCAAATCCAATCTGATTAAATGACACACTTGAAAATGGCCGAGTTTACACATTTCCAGATAAATCCATCATTATATTTCTACACCCCCACAAGTCCTTTAGGAGATGTAAGGCAACCATCCTCCTTTGATTATCGTCAGATGTAAATCCTCTCGACCTTTTCTCTGTGTGAAAAACAAACGTCCTTTTCTTAAAACACAAGCTATCTTTTCTTGATCACGACTGACGAAATTGCATCCATGTAGGACAGTTAGATGCATCGCACACACCCTAAAAGTACTGATGCAGATTAAATGCGACAGGCAACAAAAATAAACGTAGCATTGATTTCGCCAATTTTCCCACAAGCCTCTTCTAAGCTTATAGCCCCCTCCCTGGTTGCGTCCTTTCACGAAAACATAATTTCTCACATAAATGCCGTAAACGAGAATAAAGTCGGATGGTTTATTAGTCACAGCTCGACTTCGATCCGCAATATAATGATTGGTTCTTTGACACATGTCCGCTGATCAGACAAAATGGGTATTTTATTTACCAGGCTCTCATAAATGAGTACCGATCCGGGTCTATGGAGAGGGAATAGCTGCAATCACTTGATTAATTGAGATTTCCGCTTAGCAGAGCATAACTGTTGCTCAGCTTCAAGTATGGTCACAGATCTGTGATTGTGTTCAATCCTGTGATGAGCAGTAACGAATAGATCTCAGATCTATCGCTGTGATGATTATTGACATGAAGTCTGAAGTAGATCCATGTCCTGTTGTGTAGAAACGGAGGCATCACTAGCCATTCAATATCATTGGCAGAAAGATTTCATTTGTTTGTGGTTTGTGCAAAAATCGATGTTAATTACTTTCAAATTTGAAATGTTAATATCCTATTGGTGTTGGTTGGAGAGAGAGAGAGAGAGAGAGAGAGAGAGAGAGAGAGAGAGAGAGAGAGAGAGAGAGAGAGAGAGAGAAATATAACTTCACATATTCCTGTTATTACATGACAAAACAAATTCACTCCTTGGAATATGTAAATATTTCTATGACAAGTTGAACGGCATATGTTTGGGACAAACTTTCTCCCTGGCTGCCTCGAGTCAGACACAATACAGTGTTTTATAAATGATGTAGGTGAATACCTTTACCAGATAACAGTTGCATGAACATCAGTCTCCTTCCCAAACAGATAAATGAAATTGGAACGCCTTCTTAAAACCTCTCAGATGAGTCCAGGGCAAGAGTTTCAAAGATATCTTGGCTAGAGACATGTTTGTTGAAATGAGGTTATTTCGTGTGAACTGAATCTCTCCTATCTACATCAGACTTTGTGGAGTTGACTGTGCTCATAAATCAATACTTCAATAATATTCTATTTAAGTCTGTAATAGAAGGATGAACGGCCGTGGTATTAACGTCTTCCACAGCGTGCTCCTGTTCCTGGTGTTCTCTGACAGTAAATTTAGAGTTGGCAGTTGTTTGGTACTTGAGCACTGTCCAATAGTTCCCAATGCCAAAGCCAGTTAATTATTGATTATGGACAGTTACAAATATTCTGTGAATTGTCCACAAATTTACACATCAAAGGGATTTCATGAAAATTTCAAATTTGGTATCATCATTTATTAATTTCACAAATCGCTGAACATTTCATGGAATCATGCATGTCAAATAATATTTTTCTGAACAATCGATTGTTGAAATTGATGATTTTAGGTCTGAATCAATTAAATTGTCATCTGAATATCACTTACAACAAAAGATCTGCAACAAACCTATTTTCAGAGTGAGTGAGTGAGTGAGAGAGAAAGAGAGAGAGAGAGCTGGGGTTAGCATGTCAGCAATATTCAAGTTGTATGTGAATTTCCTGTAAATCATTGAGTCTGGGCCAAGTTAATCTCTGGTTGAAAGCATCTCACACACTCTGGGAAATTTAATTATCAATACATAAACTAAAAAAATTGCCATATATTGATATCTTGATTAATAACACAATTCATTCTGTCTGTGTATATCCTATACGCTGACTCTATAGATCTGTAAATAATTAAACTAATACCAAACATGAACTAGATTGATCAATCAAAATGTTAACCATTGAAGTTTCTGCCTTCTAATTCTTAACAATGACAATCTTTCCACATGTTAGTGTTTCTGTGGCAGTGAATTATTTATTTAGTATCGATATCATCAATTTGTATCGACGCAGCATTAACATGAAACATTACCGATACATCGATATGGCGATATACGAAGATGTCCCTCCTGAGAACCCCCATGGAGCGAGAGTGAAAGAGGGATCATTGGTGCCACAGTCATGTCATAGCAGCCACAGAAATATACGGCTTGGATGACCATCGGCTGTGTGATCAGATATCCAATGGTGTATTACCCAGATATCCAATGGTGTATTGACACATGATCACCCAGATACCCAATGGTACACAGATATCCAATGGTGTATTGATATCCAATGGTGTATTATCCAGATATCCAATGGTGTATTGACACATGATTACACAGATATCCAATGGTGTATTGATATCCAATGGTGTATTGACACATACTTACCCTGATATTCAATGGTGTATTACCACACGATAACCCAGATATCCAAAGGTGTATTGACACACGATTACCCAGATATCCAAAGGTGTACCTATTGACACAAGATTACCCATGCCACACCTGAGTGTTGATTCGTCATCAACCTGCTGACACAGCCATCTTGACCATCCAATCTCCATATTAGTCAACAGTTACAACAACATGATGGCAACAGAAGGACATATCAAAATGGTTTCAACGCTGCTGTCTTCACAGTGGGTGAGTGAGTTTGGTGTAACGCCACTTTGAACAGTATCTCTGGTAGATCTTGTGTCAACTTCCCGTGGGAGGGAGTCTGAAGTGCTGCAGGTTGAGATGTGTCACTTGGGGGTCAGCCACAAGTACAGGTGTGGTGCTGACAACCCTAGAACATCATCTTCTACATCTTCCTGTGGTCAGAATGTGCTCGGATCTGAGTGAGTGAGTGAGTTTGATATTACACCACTTTTAGCAATAGTCCAGCAATATCACGGCGGGGGACACCAGACATGGGCTTCACACATTGTACCGATGTCAGGAATCGAACCCAGGTCTTCGGCATGATGAGCGAACACTTTAACTACTAGGCTATCCAACCGCCCCTCGGATCTGAGAGATTGTTGAGTTTCAAGTCTATGTAAATGTATGGAGTTATGATCACCTCGCACAAAGATCGCTTTGTACAACGGTACCTTGGTCCCTATGCAGAGAGGTCTGGGGACAGTTTAGCTTGAAGACAGATAACAGAGATCATAGACCACTGTGTAACAAGGTACAGAGGGAATCTCGGGATCAAACCCATGAACATCGATTACTGGCACGTCTGAAGGAAGCTACTCTGCACAGTGAATGGCGTCGGCTTGACGACCAGGGCCCCTGTGCCCCCTGTGCCCCTGTGCTCCCATGCCCCCTGTGCCCCAGTGCTCCTGTGCCCCCTGCAGACACCTGTCAGTGTGATGTAGACAGACATTTAGTCTATGAAACCCTTTTCTTTAAATTAATTGTATGTTTTTCTTCTAATGTGACACAGTCAAATAGTTAGGCCAACACTTAGTCTATGAAAACATTTCTCAAAAATAATTATAATTTATAATTTTTCTTCAAAATGTCTTTCCTCCTCTGCTGTTTTTATTCTTGAATCAAGGAAACTAGACTCGGTTAAGTTCGATCTTGAATTGCCTAGGCTTGTAGTAAAAAAAATATCTATATAAAATTTCCACAATGATGGCACAGGACTAAGTGTGATGGTCCGGCTTGTTGTGTCAGTCTTCTCGTCGTTGTGGGACACCAACCATACATCCAGTATCCTATGGTTGGCCTGCTACTTCTGTTCTTCCTCCCCACAAACCAGACCATCACAAAGCAGTCTCATTTCCTGCTTAAAACATTACCTGCTGGGATATGTTACATCAAACCATCATGGTTGCAATATACAAACAGACATGAAGGCTACAACCTTCACAGGGCCTTGTTCCACAAATCCATTTTACAACTACGATGGTCGTAAGTCTGTGACAAAGTTACGATCAACTTAGCACTAAGAGATTGTTTTGTGGAGCGGGGATCTGACCAACAAAAACACACGTACAAGGCGCTGGCTTAATGTTGTATATGTCATGCAGCGAACCACAAGGACAAACTGTGCCGTCGACCAACTGAGGTGAACTGTACCAGCGTCAAGGTCATTGTAGACTGAACACTACAGCTATCTCATTGTTTACGATTGTACAACAGCTGATATAACATGTCTACATGTCATTGTTTACGATTGTACAACAGCTGATATAACATGTCTACATGTCATTGTTTACGATTGTACAACAGCTGATATAACATGTCTACATGTCATTGTTTACGATTGTACAACAGCTGATATAACATGTTTACATGTCATTGTTTACGATTGTACAACAGCTGATATAACATGTCTACATGTCATTGTTTACGATTGTACAACAGCTGATATAACATGTATACATGTCATTGTTTACGATTGTACAACAGCTGATATAACATATATACACTGTAGCTGACATTACACTATCAGCCGATATCACATATTTCACAACAGCTGATATCAAAAAACCTCTTCACATCATCATTGACATAATTTCATACACTACAGAACAATACCAAACAACCCTTCACATCCATGTTGAATACTTACATTTCCACCAATGTCTAAATCTTCGTCAAGTAATTCCAAATCAAAATCTGCAACAAAGTAATCATACCATTATTCACACATCTTTAAAACCGTTTCCCTGCCAACTAAAATGGATGCTGATGGGACCCCTCACAGCTGGTCTTCCAAACATCTAGGAACCGATAAACAGAATCATCACCCACAATATGAATTGTCTGCGGTTCTTACCGAGACCTCATTGGAAGCAATTTGTGTCTGTGGTTATCGTTGTATTTGTTACCTAAGGTCTTCAGCAACCCATGCTTGCCCTAAAAGGCGACTATGCTTGTCGTAAGAGGTGACTAACGGGATCAGGTGGTCAGGCTCGCTGACTTGGTTGATGCATGTCATCGATCCCAATTACGTTGATCGATGCTTATGATGTCAATTACTGGATTGTCTGGTCCAGACTCGATTATTTACATATAGCTGGAATATTGCTGAGTGCGGTGTTAAATAACAAATAAACAAACAAACAACCTTAGCTTCCTATGTGGTTTAGAATTTCCTGGAGAGTACTAACAAACATCACCCACCAGGTACCCATTATACAGAAGTTTGGTAAGTTGTAAGTGGGTTGACTGTTGCTTTGAATAGAACTTCAATATTTCTTGGTATGAAAGTTTAATGTAGGAGAAAAGCACAAATTTGGTTAAAGCGGGACGTTTGGTTAAAGCGGGACCATTGACAAATTGTTGAGAGACCTTTGCTCAAAAGTGAGGAAACTCCATGATAAGTAGATCCTGACAAGCTAAGGGACACAACTCTGCATAGTAAGCAGATATATACATACACTTAAGAGTACAGCATACAGAGTGAGTGAGTGAGTGAGTGAGTGAGTGAGTGAGGACTACAGCTTTGTCTATGTAGTAGTATGGTTTGTGTGAGAATCAAACCCTCAAACCATGCAAACACACTGTCCTCTGGGCACAGAAAGCTCTGTATCAATGTCTTAATCTCGGACCTCAATCCATGGAACCCGCGGCTATCTACAGAGTCACGCTCCAGCTGTGTTGACCCTCTATAATGAGGGTCAAGTCAACACTCAGACAAATACATGCTCACTTTACATTTAAGATCTGCAACAATCAATAATAGCCATGAAATAATCCTCACACTTTCTTAGATTACCCTGCAAGCATTTTGTGAAAACAGATTGAACTAATTTATCAACATTGCACAGAAAAAATGGTTGGAGGAAAAATAATTTCATTCCTCAGCTGTTGGGGATAGTCAAGCTAGAAAAGCTTACAAGTGATTGCCAAAATATTTAAGTTTTTAGCCACAAGTGCAACGATGACACACATCAGACCTTGAAGGCTTCCTGGAAGTGCAAGTTTAGAAGAATATCTTAATTTCTTTGCTCTAAAAGTTTTGCTTTGATCACAGAACAGCAATTAACAGACATTCTCCTAAGATCAGTCATAACATGCTGTGAGTGTGGGGCACATCTATTATCAGGGCTTCGCTGTCCCTCGATTACTTCCTAACTGTCATGAATACCTTCCAAGTCCTTTGAACATAAATATATATTTATGTGACAAAATTAAGAACTGTCATTTCACAACAGGCTGAAAAAACACGTTTCTAATATTATTAACTTAAAAACATTTTTTACGAAACGTGTTAAAAAACTATTGAAATGTGCTGATAATCCTCCCATAATGTAATGACCATTGGTGCCAAGCAGTGCATAAAATTGGTAATTCCAGTAGAAGGCAAAAAAGCAATTCAAACAAAAAATAACATTACATTAATAGTTTGTTATGGAAAAACAACTGCAAAAAACCACAGCCATGTTCTTTTTTTATGATCTCTTCAAACTGCGACTTCTTCAATGTCTTAACCCACGGACATTTTTCAAGTAATTGACAGGAAGTACACATCGTTAAACAGGCAAGTCATAAAACTGGGGCAACAATATGAGTGTTTCTGTAACCTGACAGTGAAATCTATTTAAATGCAAGTCGCTTAGCAACATAAATACAATCTGCATCATTACTGTAACACATTTGATTAAGTTATCCCTTCACATAGAGATGTTGATTACACACTGGCTACAAGCCTTTCTACACACTGATACACAAATTATAGCCATTTAATACGATTTCTATCATACCCTATGGACATAGCTGACTTAATTGTCATTAGAATCAAGGGAATGTAAGTCAATGTATTCTCTGCTGGTTGGTGCTTCATCTTGTTCCTGTCTATTCATCGTGAATTAAAGAGCTAATTTCAAAAGATCTTTTTATTTCATACCTTAAAACTAAAAGAATAATGCCTGAAAAGGAGAGCATAACTCTTTATTTGTCATAGGATGATCTCCACTGTCAGGATACAAGGATACACAACTGGTTCCAGAGCCGGGACACACAACTGGTTGCAGAGCCCGGACACCTGATCCCATCAGTGTTTGAAATAGTTTTAAAACCCAACAAGACAGTCCGGCAGGTGACCCATAAGTGTTGTCTGCCTATCTTCAAAGTTACCTCCCTACATCCAGATGTTATAAATATTCAAAAATCATGAAAAATAAGAGACAAATCATGTCTTGATTAGCTTGAAATAGTGCTAACAATTACTTGAGACTCTTCAAGGAGTTATAAAAAAACTGAATACATAAGTTGGCTTCAAGTTATCTGCTAGACATTTGGGCTGGAAGAGGAAAATTTCATGCAGCCCGATAGAAAAGCAGGCGAGCAGGCAGTTATTTCGGACACTGCATCCCATTGTAAACCACCCTCAAACTGGTGTGGTACTGGGGTCCTATACTGACAAATGAAAGCCACAAAACCCTTTCCACTACGATTCTAACTAAATCATAAGCCTGTGTTTAGAATCACTCTCAGATGGTGATGACACCAGGTGGCCATTAATCCTTAATAAGAGGATGTACTTTCTACCTGAATAAATAAAAACGACAAAACCCTTTCCACAATCATACATTATCTTGAACATGTATTTAAGAATCACTATGAAATAGTGACGACACCAGACAAGGAATCTCAATAAGGATTATGTTGGTAGTTCTCATTATCAAGCACGGTTTGTCTGCACCAGACATGAACCGGATCTGATCTTATCCAATTTGATTCTTGTTATGAAAATGAATATATAAAAAATAAAAAATTACAAGCCCATGTATTATTTAGCTGATTTGCAGAGGTAATGAAACTACATGATACACACTTGTTAATCCCTGTTATGTGAATAGGAATAGCTCCCCACCTCCTCTCTTGCACCACAGTTGGCTAAAACATTTCTATTGCATTACTCATACAACCCTCAGCGCTAATTTCAAGAGAGACATGTGCCAAATTTCACATGCACTCAACAATTTGATGAAAGTAAAAAGAAAAAAGTCCAAACATGGCCACCTTATGTGATCTTAATCTCGGGTTTCACAAAACATGCCTTGTTAGTGAAAACTTTTATGTAAAGTTTAATGCATGGTGTGCTTGTACATAACCAGCCCATCCACCGAGTTTAATACATCTTTGGTTTCGGAATGAGCCAAATAATGGCCTGTCATTGTGGGGAACATCCGTTTCTTTTCTGCCTTCTTCTCTGAAGCACTTGTTAAACTCATGATCAGTGAGGGAAACACAAAACGATTTAATATCCCCGCCAAGCGACAATGCAGTATTCAGCCTCTGTAAAAGTGATAATCATCCATAGAGGGCGCATCTTACAATTTGTCACGAAAGACCGACAGCACTGTCATTTTCTGTCAACGAATCGCCAGTTCCCCAAGAAAACTGGTCATGCTTCGCCGCTCACATAGCACTCCACAGCCTTTTCAAGACACGAGGCGTCAAGAAATATAACACAAAGGCTGGTGGCAGACAAAACACCAACTAGTAAGCCGCATTTATACCCCATCACAGTGTTTATCCTACAGAGAACACCTGAATAGACGCCCATTCTCTGGGCTCAGAAAGGGACATAAATGAGACGATTCTAGTGAATGTGGTAGTAATAGTGGCAACACGGGGCCCTGAATACCTTGCTTGTAGGTAAGCCTGGCGGACACCTCTCCTATTATCACCACTAAAATACGACACATCATTTCCCCATTTTTTCACCCCAGCCTGTATAGGTTGTCAGAACAGGAATTCTTGCACCTATTGGGCTTTGGTCTAGCTTCTCATTAGCGGGGCCTGCTGGGGTTGTATTGAAGGACCTTTTTAGGGTTCAGTTGCGGACTTGTGGGGAAGATAGCTTTGTGCTTTCATAGAGAAGACCTTCGGTGACGGTCTTTTTCAATCTGCACCGGGTGAACTTGAGTAGGTTCTTCTACCAAAGTTGTTTAGTGGACTACATTCTCCCCCAATAATTGACCCACTGAGGGGCCAAAGCCAACAAATGGTAGACTACTGTGAGGACTGCTACGATATAGCTATAGTCCAAGATGAACATGGCGTCAAACTGAACCAGTTACTAGGATTCCTCATGATCAGTACACAATCAGTTTTAACACCACAGAATATCAGTTATACAATACTGGGGGCCATGGGGCAGCCTATTGGTTCAAGCCTTCGCTCATCGACCAAAGGCCCAGGTTTGATTCCCAACATGGGTACAATGTGTGAAGCCCACCTCTGGTTTCCCCTGCCGTGCTATTGCTGGAATATTGCTAAAAGCCGTGCCAAGCCAAACTCACTCACTAACTGACACACCCAACCAACCAACCAACCCACCCGTCCACCCACCCACCCAACCAACCAACCAACCCACCTGTCTACCCACCCAACCAACCAACCAACCCACCCGACCACCCACCCAACCAACCAACTATACTGTAATGTCAGCAAAACATGTGGAAAACCCAGAGAGCCTCGAGACAAAGACGCCAACCACTTTGGAAAAACCACAAAAATGGTTATGGTACTGACAGACCATTACTTTCAGGACCAGTCTGGGATTCGAACCTAAGTCCAGTGGACCCAGTAGAGTGAGGCAGCACCTTAGACCAGATTTGTTCACGGAACTTGTAAATCTGTCATGGCTGATGCATACTGCAAAA